CGCGACTCCCGTCCCCACAGGCAGAGGGTCAGCCGCTCCAGGGCCGCCCCAGACAATCGCACACAGAGGCGCCAGCCCCCCACCCCCCCACCTCTAACAACAGGAAGTCGGCCACCACCACAGCGCTTCCGCTTCCCTTACGTCACTTCCGAGGTCGGCGACCGAGGCAGAGCGTGGGTTGGGCTCCGCAGGCCAGGTCAGGTTCGGATGAGGGCGAACCTGTTCCCAGGGTGGAAACCCTGAGCTGGGGTAAGATAGGCAGGCCTCTCACAGTTGCCCTTAGAAAAAGAGAGCAGATGCAGGGAGGGGAAGAGATACAAAGATCTTGCCAATGAGCAATGAGCTTTAATGACTGATTCATCAAGTGGGAAGGCACTGGACTGATCAGAAAACTGTTCTGCCATTGACTTGCCCTCGTGACAACAGCTAGCAAATGCACTGCTAGCTCAAGCTTCAGATTTTACGACTCTAAGAGGAGAGGATTGCATTAGATGATGCTCAGGGTCTCTCCGATTATCAGGTTCTTTCTTATTTTTAAGCTTTAAAGTTATTCATATTACACTCATAAGGGCAAAATACAGAGCCCTCGTTTCACAGGAAGCCGGTCGTTTTTTCTCCAGGAAACCATTCCCCTAAGTCAAACCTCTCCTCTGTGCCCAGGCATAAATGATAATACAGGCTACCTTCTACCTTGGATTCTTAGGTGTCCACTATTAAAGTCCAACTGGTCCACTGTCAAAGTTCAAGTCTTCGAGGGCAGGCTCATCTTCAGATCCTCATTGCCTTGAACAGTGCAAGAGTAGGTACTCTAACTTAACTGAATTTCTACTACTAATAAAAGTCCCTCGTGGTCATTTATGTTAGTCATTTCTATTGCAAATCACCACATGAGTACAGTGCTGTTCAAGGTACTGTACAGCCTGGGTTTGATGGTGTGAAAGTATGATCATTTAAAAGATTTTAGCACAGTGCTACTGAGGAGCAGACTGGTATTCTCTAAATTGGCATCTGAATGAAGGTCACATACACAAAGAGGGGACTAACTGAAGATGTGTAAGCATCACCATATACACTGTTGCCAAGACACACACATGAAGGCTATTCAGGTATGTATCAATTTTTGGAATACACACACCAGATGTTCATTAAGCATACTGCTCCAGTCAAATCAAACTATAGGGCAGTCTGCCCTTCCTTGCACCTCTTATATGACACTTAAAAGTAATGCGACTTTCAAACTATTCTTATAGCCACAGCTTACATAGAAACAGCTTCAATGATAGCAACTCTGCTTTTATCAATTGGGAAAGTGCAGGAAATATATTTAAAAGGTTTTCTTGTTAAAAAAAATTTTTTAAGGTTTAAAACAATTAAAATCCAATCTTTTTTCATTTTGCACTTAATTCACTTAAAATGAAGTAACTAATTATCCTGAGGACTGTATGAACTATATGAAAGAATCTTTCTCTTCAATCTGAATACATTTCCTTTCACTCAGTAAATCAGGCATTTCCTGGTAATTTTAAAGTCAAACTTTATTTTGTTCATTATTCTTGATATTTAAGAATAACTACAATATAAATTAGAAAGTAAAATATTTATCTCTGTTACAATATCAAAGAAGCATTTTACTCCAAGCCCAACTAAAAACCATAACAAAGACAAGACACTGCATGATTTTGGAAAGATGAGAAAGTGAAAGTTAACAGAAGGATCACAAATGTCAAATTATCACCAAATCATAGTGAGGTGATGGTGATACTGCTTCTTGACTTACATATGGAAGTTACAACATGATTTATAATACTCAACACTCAAGGAAATATCTGAATTACTTCTATACTGTGGGCTTCTGTAGGGCGAGGACTATTATTCATCTTTGAGTACTCAGATTCTAACAGAGTACTTGGAAAAACAGTAGATACTCAATAAGTATTATTGTATTGACATGTTCCTTTTATAATTACTGTAGTGAATTCTTAGTGATTCATCTATACAGTATCTTATTTATTAGTTTATTAAATTAGTTTATTGTTCAAGAGCATAATTAGATATCTGATATTAGAAAAGACTAGTTTAACAACACAAGAAATGGTTCTTTTAGTTTTACTTTCCTATTTCATACAAAGGACAGTGAGGATATACTGTCAGAGTAACACCAAAATAATCTACCTGTGTAGTGAAATTACACAGAACTGATGTTCATCTCTTGAAATGTCCAAGATTTTTATGCTAGTTCATTCTGGTGGAACTCTTTACAAACATATTAAATACTTTTCTACTTTCTTAAACATGGAACACAATACAATTCCACCTTTTCTTTATGATTTAAGCTCATCAATGTAAGCATCCAATATTATACTAAATCAGCATTAGTCTGTTTCCTCACATTCAGGGATGTGTCTGTCCTTACAATCCATCTGGCTCCTACCTCACTGACCAGGTTTGGGTTCATCTATAATAAGCTTTCACAGCACCTGGAACTTCTTCACAGTACTTATTACACCTGCGACTGTACATTTATTTGTGAGATTTGATTACTATGTCTCCCATACTAGATTATAAGGATCACGAGGGCTTGTACCTAGTTCAGGTTTGCTCACCACTGTATCTGCAGTGCCTAACATAGTGCTGGTGTATAGCAGCCTCCCAGTCAACACTACCTGAATGACTAAATAACTAAACAGCTATGTCACGCATACCCCCTCTGCTATTTGCTGAGGGCAAGTCTGGGAAATCAGAGAATCAGTCTTTCTAAAAACCACGTTGAAAAAAAAAAATCCCCTACATGAGAATGTAAGAGCATGGGACCCTACTTTTAGAGTCTTGTGGTAACTATTTTGGCTGTTAGGCCTTTTCCCTCTTCTAGTGTTTTGAAAAAGTAGAGGTTATAAGGTTAACTGTCCTTAGTCATAAGATCTTGGACACTAAACCTCAATTTCCTCCTCTATAAAATGATGATAATAGTCCCTACCTCAATGGGTTACTGGGAGGATTAAAAAATAATCATCACACTGCCTGAAATATTAGAAGAGCTGATGTTGGTTATTGCTATTAGTTGTGTGTCACATTCATAATAATATGCTATGTTTCATATATGAAGATACTGTTATTGACCCATCACCAAAGTGTACGTACCCTAAATAATTCCTTCAGGAGTAGTTAAAGGATTTGCTCAGAACACTCAGCCCATCCAATCTCTCCCCATTAAGAACAATGGCTTTTATGAAAGCTTCACATTTTAACTTTAAAGTAAACTGCTGGGCTTTCATTCATAACTTATTTCCACTAAAAATACATATTTCTCTATGGTTCTACTAATGTTATGGTGAGTTCTTGATATGTCAGAGATCTTATACAGCCCAGGAAAGGGTTATAGAAAATTCCAGAAAGGACAGTCCCACTGGAAGTTAAACTACACTTTTTACTCATATATTAAAAAAATTTCATTTTCCCTTCTACTATTTTAAAGTACATGTAAAATTATTTTCCATTTTTTGGTAGCTAATTAATTGTAAGAGGGAAGACAAAATGATCTAGTCCCATTACTACCAACTGTCTATTAAAGAAGAAACATTAATAGCTTAAATTATGGATCCTTTGAATGTTTACAGATTTCGTAAATTTGTGCTGGGCCTTCAGCTTTATCATATTTATTATAACAGTCAAAGAGTAACTTTCTTTAAAAAATGTGTTATTTTCAAAATATTCCCAAAGTGCTGAATGTGCTAGCTGAGGATACATAATTTTAAAATGATGCATATTGCAGATCAATGTTCATCTCTGGTGTAGGTTTAAAGGACAGTATAGACATCTCAAAAACAACAAAGAAAATCAGATTTTTTCCCCTTCCTATCTAATTACCTAAGGATTCAAATTACAAAGTTAACCAAGAAACCACCTACTTTAACCAAGCAGTTTGTAAGGATAAATAATCAGATATAGGAGTTCACAATCATATATATATATATACGTAAAATTGAACAACCTTTCCTTGAAGGTAACTCTGAAGTTTAGAATCAAAGTTTTAACTGTTGTTGTAGACCATGGATTGATGATGCACTGCTCTGGAGTTTCTCAGTCACTGTATCTTCTTTCACTGTGGTTTTGATGACTTCAGACACCCCACTTGCTCCAAGGATACAAGGCAAACTTAAAAACACTTCACTATTTATACCATAATATCCCTGAAATGAAAAAAATTGGAATGATAGAGCTGAATCACTGCAAAAAAGTTAGTATCATAAATATGGATAGTTTTTTGCTTTTCTGGTCTTAGTAGTACAAAGTGATACAAGTTGAACTTTAAAATAATTTTTTGTTCATTTTCCAAACTCAAGTTACTGTTTCAGAAAATTTTTGTGAGATGGGAGGAATTGAGTTAAAGACACTCCCTTTACAGGGAGGTAAGCTGCAATATGGGTAGTAGGTTGGGGTTTAAAAAAAAGACTGTCAGAATGGATTCCCAGGGGAGAGGCTTAGCATGGACTCTGGGTGCAGTCAAATTCAGTAAACTGTCTTAAGTTTTTCCTTCCATGTTTTATTTCCCTTCTAAGTTTTCACAAAAATCTGGTTAAGCATTTGTGCCTTGTCTTAGCTGTGCTTTAGGGACTTAATATTTGGGATAAAGTGGTAAAGGACATACTGAACTGGAGCTAAGACCAGTTGGCATGTCAATCTGGGTGGCTAAGGAGATAACTGACAATCAGAAGTTTATGGAATATAGAAATGATTCTTGGGGATTCCAAAATTTACATGGGGGTAAAGAGCAACCTGGTAGAAGTCCAGACTTCCCATAGCCAAGCAGGATAAGGCTTAGACCAAACAGTCTCCTCCCATGTTACTCTAAAAGCTGGTGATACTGAAGACACCTGGGTTACAGTGCAAACAGCACTTTTTCTGGTTTTATATTAATAATAAAAATATTGAAAAATACAATGAGAGGATGAGAATATCAATTACCTTTGCTAAAACTGATACAGAATGTACTTTCTTTTTATTGTTCACAATGCTGTCAACCAGGTCAGCTACTGATAGTCCGACAGACCAGGATCTTTGACTTTTTACCCTTAACAGTTCCATGGCTCTATGTGATAAAAACAAAAACAATACCACACAAAACATGATTTCAGAAAATGTACAAATATATACATTTAGTTTTAGCTTCTTTTTAAGGTATTAATTAGATATTTTTATGATACAGAAATAAAAGTTATACAGCAATTGTTAGGAAAACTTACAGATAGTCTAGTAATTAAACCCTTCTTAAAATGTCAGGCAGTTCACAGAGAGATAATACAAATGGCCTAATAATATAAAAAGATGCTCACCACCACTAATATTTAATTAAATGAGTTAAAACAATAAATACATCGGTTTTGCCTATCAAAATTGGCAAAGATTAAAAAGATTGATAATTACTTTCAAAGAAGCTACAGAGAAACAGGCATTCCCAAAACTGCTGTTGAGTGTAAAATGATTGAATCTTCTTTAAAAGGAGGATTTGGCAACATCTGATCTAGAAATTTCCTTTTTCTAGGAATTTGTCCTACAGCAGTATGCTCAAATATGCAAAGATATATATAAACATGTGTTTGCCTTGTTTGAGACAGGAAAAATTTTGGAAACAATTCATCAAAAGAGGACTTGTTAAATAAATCACTACCAAATGTAGGGCCATATAGTTCTTAAGAAGAATATAAAGTAGATTTATACAAACAATATGGAAAAGTGTCTAAGATTTTTAGGGGGGAGTTTTTTTGGGGAGGTAATTAGGTTTCTTTCTTTATTTATT